ATCTCACCCCAAAACTTATTCCTGTTGGATAGGAAGCAGGGTCAGAGGGTATGAAATGCCCCAGGACAATGCCTATAGGAACAGCTCGAAGCCTCTTTTGAAATACCTAGCAGAAGGCAACGCTGTCACCCCGCCTTTCACACAACTCCCGGCCTAAAAAATGAAATCTGTCTGCAGCAGAAGTCGAAGAAAATATCTGTTTCACTGGCAGCAGATGAAAGGCAGCGGCGTAACTGTGATCAAATCAAACGTGAATTAAACAGTAGCTCTCCGGATAGCTGGGGAAAAAACCCATTCAGATGGATCGTGCTATGACTGTAGCTGCAACTGCAGTTAATGCTGCGCTGTTTCCTGTCTTTGTCCTATTTGCCTAAAATGTGGTGCTGACGAATGTTTTAATGTTTCTCAGTTTGGGCCATGGGGGACAACCCAATTTTTTCCTTTAGAGACAGAGCTGGCTAGGTGTGCGAGGAGTCAGGTAGGAGGTAGAGCAGGGCGGCACCTTTGACGAACACCCAGCATCGGACAAAGTAGGTTGTTGCCTAGGAAAGCTCATGCCTCTCTGAACTAGTCAGTCTCTAAGGTGCCATCCTGCCCTAGAGACCTTACCTTCTACCTGACTTCTAGCACACCTAGCCACCGCTGCCTCGAAAGGCAAAATCGGTCCATCCACCTCCTACCCTCCGATGTAGAGATGATCCCAGGGGGAGGCATGGGTGCTTTGCGGGGAAAGAAACACCCACAATTTGGTTCTCATCTCGCAAGATAAGCAGTGAAAATGCCTGCTGGGAATTTTCAAACTAAGTGTTTTGGTTTATTAAAAAAACCCAAAACTCCAGCAAAACCCCAGGATTCCCCAAAAGTAAAGCTCTCGTTATGAACTTCTATTTTTCTGCGGCAAAATGGGAACAGCGGGAGGGGAATGAAACCCGAGCATTTTCACACCATTTTCAGGAAGATGTTTTGTGAAATGTTTTTTATAAACCCATTCTTTTCAGAGAGCTGGAAAAGGGGGGCGGGAATTACCTTTTTTATGTTAATAAATGTCTTTATTTTGTTTTTCCCCCCTCCAAAACAGTTCAAGTGTCCAGTATTAAAATTTGCAGCTGGATTTTTGTAACTGCAATTTGCTCCCTTCCTCACCGAGGTTTTCTTTTGACGTCTCCATATGCCTCTCCAGGCACAGCGTATCTGAGGGCTGTACAAATCCTTAAAGGATGGGGGTAACAAGGGCTGGGAAGAAATCCTTTTAAAGAGTTAAGAAGTGGGATACACCTCTATAGAGGGAAAGCGTTAACCTCCGGTGAGGTCTTGCAGCTGTGGAATAGCGTCCCAAGAGAAGAAAGCGGGGAGACTTATCCCTTGCATCACTATACCTGGGCTGATCAGGTATGGTGATCCAAGGGATAAGGTAAAGTGTGGCTCAATATGCTTCAAGGGACAGACTTTATCTTGGCTGTAGATGCAAGCAACAGGTCTTTTACAGTTCCCTGGAACGGCCTTATTAGCAGCCCCTGTGAGTTTTATGTTCAGGCTCTATACCCACACACTTTCCATTCTCCATCAGCACAAAGCACTGTTCATTTAATGCCTTCACGGTGCAATTTATTTCAAGCTTTCCTCCGGAGGGAGGTGAGGCCCTTTCATGCAGAGAGAAGAGAAGGAGCAGCCTCCAGCATGCACGGGCATGTGAGATGCAGGGCAAACCCTTTCGGAGTTGAAGCAGGACTCCCCTGGTGCCTCGGCTTTCTGCCGGCCCTGAGTCCAGGGTGCGTTTTACCCCACACAGGATCCCTCTGGTTTCCCGACCAGGCTGACCCACGCCGTGGCCTCTGCTGCATCCGAGCGCACGGGCCGATCTGGGCTTCAGCGCACACATTTCATATTTGATTTTATTATTCCACTCAATCGTGGCTGCTTTTTGTGCCGTCGACTCAGCCGGCGTCTTTGAGCTTTCAGGCCCGCACGCCGATGTCACGAGTCTACCCCCCTCACCCCCCACTCCTAGAAATTAAAGGATAAATGCTTGAAATGTAAACTCACATTTGTCAGTATTGATTTCCTCTTTTAATTGAGGGGTGTAATGTGTCTGTCTTTTCTGAGCAAGGGAAACATTTCTGCTCTGATTACATCTACCTATCTGTCTTCCTTAGATGAGCTGTGATGACTGCAAGGGGAGGTGGGGGAAGAAGTGGAAGTGAGAGAAAGTACAACCCCCAGAGATTTGCTGCTCTCTTAAATAGACGTTTTACTAGGAATTATTACAAGCATGGTAGCTCTTAGCTCCTCTCAAGGATAACTAGTAGCTGGAAACAAGGTAGAGCTAGCGTGTGGCCGGCTAGCACCATCGAATGCTCAGCAGGCTACTGGTGGGATCCAGAGCACAGCATGAGATCCCCTGCTGCAAAGCAGCAGCTGAGTTGCCCCAAAGGGACGTGGAAGAGAAGGGCTACAGCTGCTAAAGGGGTGTAAAGTGTGCGCTGCACCATGTGCGGAAAATGCATCGTGTTCAAGGAGACCTATGAGCTCTGAGACCAAGAAGCATTCAGCTGGCATATCAGGAAGGGGTCCCAGCCACTCAGGACCCCTCCCCATGTAAAATTACCAAGGGTTTTGCCCTGAGGTCCTTACTTATGGAAATCCTCAATGCAGTGAATGTTCCCGCCGGCGTCCACGGTGAAGGGGATCCCGTCCAAGCTGCGGTGGCACATCACGCAGGTGAAGCAGTGGGGGTGGTAGGCCTTCCCCGTGGCTCGAAGGATCCTCTCCATGATGGGCTTGGCACAGACGCTGCATTGCTCCAGCGTGTTCTGCAAGCAAAGAAAAGACCGTGCATCCACATCAAAAGGCTGCCAGGTAGGCACTAGACAGTCACAGGGTCTGGCAGGACTAGGGGGATACTGCTGATCTTTGGGGAAAATGCCTTTTTTGTAGTCTATATAAGCTCAAGTTGTCTGCTTCACAGCTGCACGGAGGCAACGTGGCTATAATACCCTCCCTCTAAAGGCTGGATGCTATCTACATCCCTTGGTTTGCAGGTTTTATTTACCAAACCAGACACTGGAGCACAGAAGCCAGAAAGCAGTTTTTCATTTCCAGCTGAAAGCAGCGGCTCATTCCAACCCTGCCGTCCTCGCCCCATCTGTTACATAAACGCCGGTATAAATCTGCCTCAAACACTCGTCTTCGCGGGGCCTGTCTGCCCTCCCGATGTTGCCCAGCGTGAGTACACGATGTGCAGCTTGCCTTGTTTCCAAACCCAGCACCTGAAACGCGCGCACGCAAAGAGAGACGCGTTCCACCCTGGCAGCCGCGAGCGATAAATCTGCGGGCAAGCTCAGTGGGTGTATTTGCTGGACTTGGGGAGAGCATCCCCTCCCCACCTGCCTGGCTGGGAATACGTGGAGTTATCAAATAAGTGCCATATGTTCAATTTCGGGATGCAGCCGGTGGGCCTGTGATCTCTGGAAGGGGGAAAAATAATACCAAAAGGAAGGAAAATAATGGGAGCCGTGCAAAATCATGCCAACGTACAACACTTGATGGCTAAAGTTCTCCTGCCTTGCATGAGTCCCCTGAAAATCTTGGGGGGAAACATTCCCTTCCAGAGGATGGCACAATCATTGCCCACTTGACTGCACTGTCATTGCCCACTTGACTGCACCGTCATTGCCCATTGCCCAAGACGGTCAGCCGCAAGAGCCTTCTCCTTGCACCGAAATACGCTCTCCGGACCCGAAACACCAGCGAGTGCAGAAGAGTCATGCTACAGTGCAACATTTGTGCCTAACCTCCGAGGCCACATCTTCCTTGTGAAATGCAAACAGATCACTGGCTTGCTCCTTGCTTTCCTTGCAAATGCCAAAAGGTCAGTAGGACTTGCTTTTTTGGAAGAGTCCTGGATTTCAGTGGTGCATGAGAACTGCCTGCCATGGTTGTACGCACGACCCACTCTGACTCGGGGTTGATTACCGGCAAGGTCTCGCTTGATGTATTATATTTTTGCAATAATAGGGTTCAATGAATGGTTCCTTGGCTATCTGTTTGCTCGCTATCACCACTGACAGTGATTGATGTACCGGAGAGAAGGCCAATGCTGGGCACTGGTTTCTCTTTAGGGATGTTTTCAAGCTGAGTTTCCATATCCACACTGCTCCTGATACCTGTAAAGGGTATTCTGCAACGTGGCCAGCACTGGGAAACCAGGTACCCGGGGCACTATCTACGGCAGATGCCTAATATTAGTAGCTGGATTCTGCATACATCACTAACTCATTAAGTGGTTTTGCTTTTTTATTGGTTCATTCAAGACTTATCCCACTAAATAAACTGGATTAAAAAATAAAATGGAGAAGCATGTGGAGTGTGGCAGCAGTTTGGGAGAAGTCAGCGGCCGCCCTATGAATTTCAGTGGAAAGGCGTAAAAGCTAGCAATGACCTGGGGCTGGACAAGGAAATAATTTTCCCAGCAACAGGTCTGTTAATTTGAAGGCAGCTATCGTTGGAGCAAAGCCTGGCTCTTACAGAGCGCTCTTCATTGGTACATCTCCAAACACTTCGCTGACATCTGCTCGCGCCGCATCGATAAAGCTCACGATTAGCATTTGTAACTTTACCAAAAGGGGCCCGTACCAAACATATTGCAACCGCTACACTTCCTCACCATGGCACTGGTTTATTTTATGCACAGCTTTATCCTAGAAAACCAGACATGTCAGAAACTTCCCATATTCTGCTAGAACAGTGCATGCCACAGAGAAAACGGTAAAGTAAACCAGAGATTTCTAACATTTCACGGTCACCACGTAGAGCAGAGGGCAGCGAGCGCAGAGCGTGCTTTAGGAGGCCACAGGGAGCTCAACATAGGAACCAAGAAGAGAGGGGGAGAGGTAACCAGGTCCATCTGGTCATTGGGAGGGTCCGCATGAGGTTGTCCACAGGAGCGGGGCCTCCGGTATTGTTTTTTTGTCTTGTGGTTGCACCACAACCACAGTCCAGAGCAACATCCAGAATGAACTGGGCAGCACGGGCACCCATAGGATGAGACTGTCTTTGTCTGGAAGGGTCTACCCAAGTCTATGGAAACTCATTTACTTGGAATCATAGAAAATGAGGGTTGAAGGGACCTCGGGAGGTCACATCTAGTCCAACCCCCTGCTCCAAGCAAGACCAGCCCCAACTACATCGTCCCAGCCAAGGCTTCGTCTAGCTGGGGCTTCAAAACCTCCAAGGATGGAGACTGCACCACCTCTCTAGGTGACCTGTCCCAGTGCTTCTCCACCCTCCTAGTCAGAAAGCTTTTCCTAATATCCAACCTCAACTTCCCTTGCTGCAGCTTGAGCCCATTGCTCCTTCTGTCACCTGCCCCCACTGAGACCAGCCCAGCTCCATCCTCTTTGCAGCCCCCCTGCAGGGAGGTGAAGGCTGCTATTCAATCCCCCTCGGTCTTCTCTTCTGCAGACTAAATCAGCCCATCTGTCTCAGCCTCACCTCACCAGTCCTGTCCCCCAGCCCCACAACCATTTTTGCTGCTCTCCTCTGGACTCTCTCCAATGTGTCCACATCCTTTCTGCAGTGGGGGCCACAGCTGGACACAGGACTCCAGATGTGGCCTCCCCAGTGCTGAACAGAGGGGAAGAATCACGTCCCTTGATCTGCTGCCAATGCTCCTACCACTGCAGCCCAGGATGCTGCCCTTAGCCTTCTTGGCACCAAGGGCACACTGCTGGCTCCTGTCCAGCTTCTTGTCCCCTGTCACCCCAGGTCCTTTTCTGCAGAGCTGCTGCCCAGCCCGTCACCCCCAGCCTGCACCGGTGCAGGGGATTGCTCCCTCCTAAGTGCAGGACTTTGCACTTGTCCTTGTTGAGTCACATGAGATTTCTTTTGGCCCAATCCTCCAATTTGTCTCAGTCTCTGAATCCGAGCCCTGCCCTCCAGCATATCTACCACTCTCCCCAGCTTGGTGTCATCTGCAAACTTGCTGAGGGTGCATCCATCCCATCTTCCAGGGCACTGATGAAGATATTGAACAAAACCGGCCCCAGGACTGACCCGGGGCACTCCACTTGATACTGGCTGCCAACAAGACATTGAGCCATTGACCACTGCCCATTGCACCCGATGATCCAGGCACCTTTCTATGCACCTTACAGTCCATTCATCCAACCCACACTTCCTCAGCAAGCTTGCTTGCTTACTGAAGACTGTTGCAGACGTCTCTGGCTATAGGCTGGTGACCAAGGATTTTAGATTCTTTTGCCTAACACGGGCCATTGAGCTTTGATGCAACCTGACTAGCTGTGCAAGACAGGAAACAAATGTGCTGTAGCTTTTGGATGGTGCCGTCCTGGTCTACAAGCCATCTGTTTGCAAACCTCGGCTCAGTCACACCGTTAGATGCTCCTCTACTGAAATGAGAGAAGCATTTTAATTTCCCTTCTCTTGATTAAATCCTTCTCCACCTCCCCTTCCCCCCATTGGAAATTAAGTCCTAGGAAATTTACTTGTCTGATCCTTCCAAATCTATACCGACAAGAATAATTTCAAACACCCGCTCGCTCCCTGCCTGGGAATACATTGCTTTCCTGTACCTCCCTCATATACCGCCCTGCCTGGGAATATATCTGCTCTCAGGTACCTCCCTGGCTTCACGCTTCTTTTCAAGGGGCTACCCGAAGATGCTGGAGCAAAGGCTGCTCCGATTCACACCCAGGCGATACCCCTGACTCCAGCAAGGCTGCTGCAAAGGAGGACTTGGTCTGTTGCTCTAAAAAGCCCATTTTTGCTTTGGTAAAGCAGGCTAGCCTACATGCCCAAGGACTGCCTTGGTAACTAATGAATGGCACGAAGGTATTTTTGCGCATGACTGGAGTGGTATGTCAGCAGGAAT